GACTGGGTACGGTGGTTGGTACGCTGGTGGGGACTGTGGCTACGATTCCTACGACGGCGGTTGGCACGTTGGTGGGAGCGGGCGTGGGTGGTGTGCATGGGCCGTGGGTGAAGCTTGGGGGTGGGAAGAAGGATGGGAAGGATAAGGAGAAGGACGGTGAAGGGGAAGGTAACGGGGAGGACGTCGATGGGCAGATGCAAGACCAGATGGGCGGAGAGGAGGATGGCATACCAGATCCTGAGGCGCTGAGACGTGCAGCAGATGAGTTTGCGCAGCAGCGGAAGGCGAACCAGGAGAATGGTGGTGGTGATGCGGAGAAGAAGGAGAAGAAGAAGCCTCGGAAACTGGAGGTACGGGGCAAACAAGGTGCATGAAGAAGGGTAGCAGGACATTTGGTTTTCGAACACCGCACTGAGCTCATGGTTTTGTTTAGTGGATGCATTGTTTGGCGCTAGCATCATATAAGTATTGGGATTATGGCATAGTATACACAGGTTTGACGAAATACTTCTCCTCGAAATCTGAAAGTCGAGACGAAGCCATGTCTTTTCATCGATGAACAACAACTCCAGCGCCTTCACCCATACCCCGTACCTTTCCCTCAACAACACGTTCGGGTAGTCCCAATTCCGTACAAATCTCATCGAAACAGTGCATGCCATCGAGAAATCTCAGTAGAGGAAGCCCGCTCCCGCTTTTATCCCGATCGCTCACCAAGCCCTCGAGGGTTTGGTGTTCTTCACCCTTCGAAACACTGAGATGTTGGGGGTTCTGTTGCTGATGATGAGGATTCATAGGCATCGCGGAGGCGACGCTCGGTCTATGGATAGAGAAGGACGGATGATGTGTGTGGATATTGGCTTGGGAATTGTGGTGACCGTGGGTCTGGATACTTGGCTGGGAGGAATGGTGTACTCGTTCGTTACCGCGAATTGTGGTGGTGTCTGAGTCGCGGGGGTTTGCGAGAGATGTCGCGGTACTTGTTTGCAGACTCGTTGGTGGTGCGGGTGGTAGGGTCGTTGAGGTCGCTATCGCGTACTTGTGCACACGGTAGAGGAAACCCTTGATGATGCCGAAGGTTATGAAGCGGCGTACGTCGATGCCAGTGAGAAGATCCAGATTCTCCAGCACCCAGTTCTTCAGAGTGAGACCTTGTCGCAGCGATGTGTATAGTGTGATCAACGTCTCATGGCTCGTCTGCCAAACATTCTCTTCCTCCTCTTCCTTCTTTTGAGCGGCGATGTGGCTATCGAACTCTGAGACCCTAAGCGTAGATCCGACAGTCTCGCTTTGCTGTGATGACAAAGACGAGGTCGAACTACGCTCGTCCCTACTCTTCTCTGAAACTTCGCTATCCATCCGAGCTGTCTTTGCGTTCGAACCAAGTCTCATTCTCGGTACGCTGACGTAGCGCATACATTCCTCTTTAACCTCTGCATCCATTATGAAATCACCAATCTCTGCTGTTGGCGCATATATGGCGCTGAAGCTGAAGATATCCAGTAGTATTAAACATCCATAGTACACCAAATGTTGAATGGCTCGTCTTGTCAACGAGAGATCGGTATCAGCCAGTTGCGCTATGTGGGCTATCGAGTTGATACCGTTTATGTATGGTAGTATGCGATTGAGAGTGAGGTCCGAGGATACGGGTTGCTGGAGACTTGACAGAGATATGGTGAGCAAGGGCACTTGATGCGCGAGGATAGGCGGAGGAGGCGGTCGCGTAGGGAACAGCTTCAGGTTGATCGTATTCGAGTCGTCTGGTAGTTGGTCAGCATGTACGTACTACAATCTGGTACGCAGCATGACTTACCGATTGGTATCATACACTCTGCGTAGTTATTTAAATCCTCAAGCACCATCTCACACAGCGCATACACCTTGCTGCCACCACCTATTCCAAATCCGCCGACGCCATCGTCGTGCCCGAACCCAACGTTCCCTCCTTCATCTTCCCAAACGCCCTCCTCTTCTCTGGACAAGAATCCGCCCTGTTCTTCTAGGCCCCTCAACAAGCGTCCCAGCTTCCTCACGACTTCGCCGTAGCACGCCCAGTCGCGCTCATTTTCGCCTATCACGATTGCGAAATTGAAGATGAACTCATTCCTACTGTATTTCCCTTCTCTTATACAAACAGGGTATCCGATGACGCGATTGTGGTTGATACAGAAAGTGAGGAGGCGATCGCAGAACTGTTGCGTGGGTATGAGGAATTGCGTGACTGAGGGAAAGGTGAACAGTGGTGTGGGGAGCGCCGATGGGAGGTTGGAGGGTATTATGGCGCCTGCGGGTACCTGGTGGAGGACGCGATTCCCTTGCGAAGATGTTAGCGGGGTTTCTGAAGGCGCGGCTCTCTTTGGACTACCTTTCTCATGGTGGAAGCGAGTATAGAATATGGCTTTGATCGCGCGCGTAGGCATTGAAATCTGTAGGCTCTACCGCCAAAATTTGCTGGCGACTACATGGTGGTGTAGAGTCTCCGGAGTCGCGATGTGGGGAGCTTGAGAGAGCTTCCAGGGTTCCGAGGTGTGGTCTGTGCGTTGCATCACGCGTCGTCGTTATGAGATCTCCAAATTGTCGTTCCAATGATACGACTATAGAGTTTGAGAAATGTGTAAACTAGCTATAGAGCGAAAAGCTTTACTGGTATGCTCACGCTGCTAAGTTACAAGCTATAGCAAGCAGCTTTTTAGGTTAGGAGCTAAAGATAACATTGGAACATTCAATGTTGTTCCTAATGACATTAAAAGCGTGCAACTGCCAGGGTTCACAGCCACGCCTTGGCGCAACCCGGAACCTCGTCGTCAGCTCCAACACACCCACACGCTATCACAAGAAACAACACGTCTTCACTATCGTTCCGCCCCGATCACCTCCTCATCACCCAAACATAAGCTCCGTACTATCGCGACAATCGACACTTCGAATTGACCGTGTGTCTATCCCGGCATCACCTTCCGCAAGCTGTCGCTAGCTTCGCAAACAAACAGATCGCATTCACAGCAACAACCGCCACGATGGGATCCCTAGGCACATACTTTTTAGATGTCGTCTATTCCTTTACGAATTGCATGGTCTGCTTTCCAAGCTCACCACAATTGAAGATCAATAGTCGGAGTTTCAAGATATTACGGCTGTTGGGCGAGGTAAGCTGAGCTACATCCAATCGACTGCATTCAGTTAACTAATCGCGACACAGGGTGGCTTCTCATATGTATACCTCGTACAAGACAATTCGAATCAACAACTACTCGCCCTCAAGAAGATTAGATGTCCCTTCGGCCAAGAAAGCGTGAGCCTGGCGCTCAAGGAAGTCGAGGCCTACACACTCTTCTCACCGCACCCCAACATCATACACTCAATCGACTACTCCGTTGAAACCGACAAGTCAGACTCGTCCGCGAAGACCGTATACATCCTCCTCCCGTACTACCGTCGCGGCAACCTGCAAGACATGATCAATGCGAACCTGGTCAACCACACAAAGTTTCCTGAGCGAAGACTCATGGTGCTGTTCCTGGGTGTTTGCAAAGCGCTAAAGGCAATGCATCAGTACAAGATCAAGGGCGGACCCGGCGGCGCGAAGAGCGAGGGCAAGGCGAAGAAGGTCCGGAGAGACGCGAAGAGGGCAGACGCGGAAGCTGCGGAGACAATGGAGATGCGCCCGAGCAGGCGGAATCGCGATCATGACGACGACGACGAGCAAGAGGCAGAAGGACTGCTAGAGGAGTCAGAAGTCACAGCGGCGCACGAAGGCATTGCGCCTGGCGGGGAGAGGGCGTACGCGCACAGAGACATCAAGCCTGGTATGCATCGCATTCATCTCATAGTCGCGCATTCTAGAGACTAACACGCGTAGGAAACATCATGATAGACGACGACGGCCAAACGCCCATCCTCATGGACCTCGGCTCCCTCGCACCGTCCCCCACGCCCGTAACATCGCGATCTCTCGCCCTCCAAATCCAAGATACCGCCGCCGAACACTCCACCATGCCATACCGCGCTCCAGAACTCTTCGACGTCAAGACCGGCTCTGTCATTGACACCAAGGTCGACATTTGGTCGCTCGGTTGCACTCTTTACGCCTGCTTAGTCGGCAAGAGTCCGTTTGAGGCTAGGTCAGACGAGACTGGTGGTAGTCTGAGCATATGTGTCCTGGGTGGTGACTGGAGATTTCCAGATGAGGGTATGCAGAGGGGCAAGCAGAAGGCGAATCCTGAGGATGCTATTACAGATAGCGTCAAAGAGGTGGTGAGGAAGTGTTTGAGGCTGGAGCCAAGTGAGCGACCGGATGTTGATGAGCTCATTGAGATTGTGGAGGGCGTGCTGAGGGAGCTTCCTGAGGACGGCTCGGACGATTAAGTGATGCGGCATCCGCTCAAGGTGGTTTCTCTTTTGGTGAGCATGCCCGTGCACGTGCATTTCTTTCCTACACGGCGTGAGTATGTCCAAAGAAGATTTGGGCTCTTCATCTTTCCATCCAGGCGAGCGTATCGATACGTTTCAATTTACCCTTTCACGAGTTGATCTCGCCAACCCACTTCCAGTCTCACCTCATACAAGGAAAAAACTGAACAGGTACTCTGCCGTCTACGTTGGTATAAGGGTTGAAGTTCACATATTCTTCGGGGTAATGTAAACTTCTAGGAGGCAGTTGTTCAGTTTTTTTCATGTATGAGGTGGTGCCACCCTGACTAGGCGCTACTCTCACACTACAGCGCGGTTTGCTCGATAAGCGCATATTCTTAGCATTATGGAATATCTCTACAGACTGGCAGAAGAGTCGGTTGGGCGATCTTCGGAGTTTCCACTTGTTGGCTGTTTTGGTGGCGGTGATCACATGCGCCTATTTGCCTCCAGATCCACACAACTTCAGCTGAACGTTAGCGCAACACCTGCAAGCAGCTAAGCGGCATACTCGTCCGACCCTTCAAGACGCCAGCTCTCAGCCTGGCACTTGCGATGTCTCCTCCTGTCACATTCGAGTGGTCGCCATGGAAGCCATCGCAGGACTTAGTCTTGCTGCCAACATCTTACAGGTTATAGACTTCACCGCGAAAGTCTTGTCAACTGGAAACCAAATTCGCCAGTCAGGTTCTATTGTACAGAACTCGGAGTTAAAACGGGTGGTTGAAGACTTCACGGCACTGAACGAACGCATAACATTATGGGCTCGTCCTAATCCGGCCGGCTCGGGCCCATTGGCCCAGACCAGCCAGGTACTTTAGACATGTACAAGATCTGGGCGCCTACGACGTCAGTCTTACATATTTACAGGCACTTGAGGATCTGGCTACTGAGTGCACGAAGATTGCTCAAGAACTTATTGCCAAACTCGAGTCGTTGCGATGTCCCAAAGACGCGGCCAGATACAAGAAGATTCTCAGCGCTCTAAGAGCATCTCGGAAGGCGAAAAAGATCGAGGATATCGAGTCACGACTTCAGATAATGCGTGATGAGCTTCAGTTTAGAATTTTAGGTTCTATCAGGGACGACCAATTACAAGGTCTAGATGAAACGAGTCGGATAGCGATGCTGAGCATAGTGGAGAACAACAAACAACTCGGCACGACAATGACTTCACAAACCGAAAAGATCATACAACGGCAAGAGGTCGACAGCTCTGTGGCATCGATACGTCACAAAGAGGTCCTACATACCGTCGCCAATCAACGATTAAAGAAGTACAGCATAAAGGATGTCCCACGCGCAATCACGAATAAGTTACACTTCGCTCGGAAAGACGATAGATACGACGACATCGTTACTGCGCATCAGAACACCTTCAACTGGGCACTGGAGAGTAGAGATTCCTTAAGCTGGCCAAGCCTCGCAGACTGGCTTCGCTAGGATGGTGGCGTGTATTGGATCAACGGGAAGGCCGGGTCCGGAAAATCATCGTTGATGAAGTATCTCTATCAAGATCCCCGGTTCATGGACTCGCTAAGTCTCTGGGCTGGAGGCGATCGTCTCATTGTGGCTGACTTCTACCTTTGGAGTGCAGGTACTGAGATCCAAAGGTTGCAGGAAGGCCTGTTGCGTTCACTGCTCTGGCAAGTGCTCGGTCAGCACATATCCCTAGCCTCTACACTATTTGCGCAATAGTATCTATTCGATGGCTCGGACGACTACGTGATGCAACTGCACTTACAATTAAGAGGAAGGAGGGATGTTCTCCTTGTCGTCCTCGTCGTCGCTATCGACGATACATGGTCGCTGCACAAGTTAGCATTGCACATAGATCTCTGAACCAGCTAAGAACACAGGGAGTACTCACGGACTTCGTCCCCCTCCCCCTCCCCCCACCCCCTTTCTTCTTGTCCTTCTTGTCCTTCTTCTCCTTGTCCTTCTTCTCCTTCTCCTCCTTTTCTTTCTCCTTCTCCTCCTCCTTCTCCTCCTCCTTCTTTTTCTTCTTGGGCGCGGGAGCGCCCGCGGCCGCTTTCTTTGCGCGCCGCTTTGGAGGCACGGCCGCCTCCGCCTCTTTGGGCTTGGGCTTGGGCGCGGGCGCGGGCGGAGCGGGCGGCGCGAAGTCGTCTACACTACGTTAGCCTACGGCTGGACGTCGTTTTCGCATATATCGGTGGTGAAGACGATGATCGGGATTCGTGTGTAGGTTATCATTCTGGTCGACTCATCTGGGTTGCACTTACCGTCTCCCTTTGGGAGCGTATGCCCCAGGGCAGGCTCTGCGGCCTCTGCTGAAGAAGAGTTAGCATTGACCGTAGAAGCGGACATGTGAACAAGGTACTTACGCCGTTCTTCTCTTATCGTCAACGGATCTAACATGTCAGTAACATTTTCAAAAAGAACCGCCAACGACCATTCCTTGTAAAGCTCTCAACCAAACTTGAGATACACGATCAGTCTTCTCAGAGTGCTCTTGGTGATAACAGTCATCACTGGATGGATATCCCAATGCGTAGTACTCGAGATGCAGCGGCGGCATGGGAAGTAACGGACGAAGCTCAGGAAGGAAGTACTTACGTTCTGGTTCGGGCAGGAAGCCCATTGGGCGAACCCAGCTTGCTGCGCATAAATTTCTAGCGGCATCAGTCAGTCACGATTGCAGAGCACATTCACGCAGCGCATCACTCACTCCATTATGTCGATGGATCGTTGAGACATCATGAAGTGAGCGCCGCCGATCTAGATAAACTTGCACATTTCGTTCCCACGTGTCCGCTAACACCGAGGGCAGTCACGACTGAGGAAGTCGCGATGCCCACTAGTGGCACGACGATGGAAGGAGCACCCCAACGACAGGCGCGTCACCCACGAACATCGGTTTTCAACCTCGATCTATGATAACAGCAGGCTTGTATCCTGTTGTGCTGTTATACTCATTCATCTATTCACGTTTTGTGTGAGAGAACTTGGAGCATAGCTTGGGGAAAGTTCTCTTTCGGTGCCGGCGAGGTATGTAAAGTCTAATAGAGACGCGACGGGCCATCGACTAATATGGATGCGTTAACAACTGAGAACTGAAGCTGATGATAAAGCATGGAGAGGTTTGGTAAGACATGAATCTCATTGTGGTATATAGGTACTAGCAAATGCAAACAACGCTGGACAAAACAAAAGCCAAATTTGTGAGTAATTCCTGTTGAAGGAAGTCCTCTTTTCTGATGGATTCTGATGGTTGAGCATCGAATACATCCTCACTAGGAAACCATATGCACTGGCGCGCTAAGTGAACAAGAATACCGCTAGCCATCGCAGCCGCAAAACTATAAGGAAATAAAGCAGGGTACGTCAGATCCTACTTTGGTGCTAACATATAGCTGACCGTTGAAGAAGGAATACACGTCGCCTGTCCGAAAATGAGTAGCAGAGAAGCCTAGACGTTATGTTAGTGTTGGAGAATTGCCAAAGTGGTGGTGGTTTACTTACCAAAGAAGCAAACCATCGCTTCAGTCGTCAACCCTTCCAGTTCTTGTGTTGGCGATACTTCTCATTCTTTGTCATCTTCGCCTTCGCCTTCATCCTCCACTAGAGCTTCTTCTTCTTCTTCGGCATCGCTGAAGTCATCCTCATCCTTCGAAAAGTCGTCAACATCTATGAGTTGCTGCGTGAACTCTTCGCCCGTCTGCTCTTGCTTCGGCTTCGGCTGAGCAACTAGCAACGTGAACCAAACCTTGTTTTCTGCGACCTCGTCTGCATTGAGCAAGGCCTTTTTGCCGCGGGCGATCTGGTGCTCTGTGTAATACATTTGGTCCTTGAAACCGTTTCCAGGGGTCCAGCTGCAGCAAGGGCGTCCAAATTTCCAGCATACGCTGCAGACTTTGAGACCTCGCCCGACATCGATGTATTTACAGCCCGCATCGGATATGGTTATCTGCCTCTCCGTCCGCATCAAAGCGCAGGTGTCGCAATTCAGTCGTTTGGAATCCGCCCCTAACGACCTGAAGTCGCCGTTGACGTTTTGGAGACCTGCAGATATCATATCTCGCATGAGTTCTGATTCCATGATGCGTCCACCATGACGCATGGTGTATGGCTCTGGCAACTTGACCTCAATAGTCTGGGTGTGATAGTTGTAAACAGTCTGGAGAACGTAGGCGCATCCCCTAAGCCTAGCCATCCAAGTCTGTGGGTGGACAGGCTCTGCATTGAACAGCCACTGCGTCATTGCAATAGACCGGTAGTAGTTGATGTTTGAGCCTCGATAGTCGTGCTGTTCTAGATCCAGAAACGTGAAGATCTTTCGAGTCTGTATGTAGCGGAACCTGAATTTACCGGAGCCGATTGGATATTCCCATTCGATGCGCGCTGCCAACGCACGGCCTTCCTGTAGATGCGAAGATGCGAAGTCAGTGCCTGTTTCATATGTATCTTGTGCGGTTACAACTTACCTCCCAGTTCAAAAACGGACCTATTTCGGGAAGTCTTGACCATGCCATGGGATGGGCTCGACCATCCCTTCGAACCTCGAACACGATGTAATACGGCTGGTTTTGCTTAGGACCCATGGTTCCGTCGTGCTCACTCTGTCTATGACTGACACCGAAAAAGTACTTTCCTTGATGCATCTTCATGAAGACATTATGTTCCAGTTCTTTTCCAGTTTGCTTCTTCATATACTTCGCAATCTTCGGTTTGGCGCTCCTGAATATCGATATTGGCATGACTGATCCGTTGACGCGAGATTTGACGAGGGTATCATGACGTAGGAAGAGACGCTGCTCTTTCATCAAACTCCACTCCTGGAATGGGCTGCTGTAGTTCGCCCCAAACGATACACCGAAGCTCTGTCGGCTGGTACCACCAGAGTAACCAGTGATTTGGAAGACCTTGGTGGAAGCGTTCCTAAAGTAGAGAGCGGCATTGATCGCTTCGGCATGCCTGATGGCGCTGTCATTGTCTAAGTCAACAGTACGGTCTACAACAATGTGAAGTTCCTCTCTGTATGACTCCAGAAGACACACGAAGAGCTGTTCGACAAGATATGCGAAATCGACATTGTCCTGGTCGTCCATGTCACACAGCGCCACCGACTTAAGAGCGGAATTGCGTGTCAAGTCCCCATAGCTGCTCTCAGTATATTTGTGATTGTCGAAGCGATCTCTAAAGTCGACAGCCTTGCCCACGTAGACGTATCTGACATTTGGCCGCCAGCGTTGGACTTCAGACGTGGATAAGTGGTAGCGCAGGTATACACCTCCATTCGTGCGTCTCTTCAGCTGAGCATTGATCTTGATAGTCGATGTGTCGACGATATCTTGAGCCGTGAAATTGTGGCGGTTCAAAACATCATACAAGCCTGCTCGCTTGATGCCTTCGAGGATGGTATGGACTACGGAGTCAACGCCGCTCCCTTTGCCAGTCTTGCTTCTCTTATCTAAGAGTTCGGAGATCTTGGTACCCATGAATGGCGCTGGGTTGGTGATGAACTCATCGAGAAGGCCAGCGACCGTTCTCGCAAGCACCGACCCGTCCAAGGGGATGGTATTTGAGGAGGGTTGTCCCACGGCAGTATAGAGTCCGATGCGCTCAAGCGCCCGAGCGTCGAGGTTCATTTCGTACTTCCAATCCTTGATGTCGTTCTTCCAGAGAGCGCCTTTTTCGACGATTTTGGCTGGGACCTTGAAGTGTACATTGTCAGCGCACTTCCAATACATAGCCGCATTGTATGTGTTCAGACTTACCCATTGGTCAATGTGACGTATACTGCCCTCGTCCCACTCGGATACACCTCGGATGTAGATCCTGGCATTGCCGTTCTTCTCTTCAAACCATTGACCGACCATACCTGAATTGTTGCTGTCAGTGTGTGGTCCTCATTCAACTCTTACTGTATATCTGGGCTCGTACCTTTCTCGAAATAGGATGCCTGGTCAGCATTATAGTGATTCATGATAATTCTACATCCATATCGGGGCAGACCGCGATCGGGATCGGAGAAATCGTGGGCTCGCACGGAGCGGGATGGGGGGTCTTCGATCCAATTCATGAGACTATTGGTGGGAATGCGGGAGAGGAGGTGTGGCGGGGCGCCGGGGGGGAAGTGCGGCATGTTGGCAGTGATCCTGGACTCTGTTGAAAATTGATGTGCACCTACTATAGCTTCCGGTCAGTGGACAGCCGCGGAAGGAAAGTCAATTTGTACTTACTACAGCCTGTAGAGAAGATACCTAGCTAGGTATGTGTGATACCTGAGGGGAGGAATATCGCCACGTTCGTCAAGGCAACTTATGCAGGACAATTCCGAGTATGTGGCTGATCGGCAATAGACAACTTGCAGGAGGCGTGCTCGTCGCAGAAGGATGTGTAGGACTGTAGATATAGGCCTGTGGTATCGAAGGGGTGTAAGCTTGTGGCGCTCCCAAGAAGACGGGTGGAGGGTGAGTAGGTAAGGTGGATGAATGAGGGAGGAGGTGAGTAACGAGACTTATATGGACAGCAAAGCCGCGCTATCTTTCAAGCTACGGACACTCCCGCGAGCGTATGACTCCGACAAGTAAGAGGCAAGGGCGGTGGCCTCGTTTTACATGCCAAGCTCACCGTCAACCCACGTGGCGTCCTGGTTTCGCATGGCCCAGACGCGCTCACAGACCGTGATAGGACCATATGGTATCATACAAACAGCCTCGGGCTCCATAATTGCGGTGAGATAATGCCATCGGTGCCCAAAATAGAGAGGCACGCGGGTAGATATTTCCAAAAGCAGTATGGTCTAGAGGATCCGGAGTCATTCGCCTTCAAAGAAGGTGAGAGGCGATAGCAGTCTGGGATATTCAATTTGCTCTACGTATCCTCAAACTCACCTAGAAATGCCGCAATCGCTCTCAGCACGCGATCGGCGCCATACCGTACCTAGGTAGGTACCCAGGCATTCCCATGTCCCCCGGGGCCACTCTGATCACGACTACCTAGGTACTTAAACAGTATATCCTCTTTCCAAACCATCACTCCTACACTCTACATAATCAACTTCTTCCCTCCGTTGCCTTTCGATACAACTTTGAAACAGGTGGATTCTGTCTATACCGACCCTGCTCCCTCGCAGCAATCTACTCAGCCCTGCCTCAAACCTCTAGCAATACGACCGAAGTCCCCCAATCCACATACGCACAAGGCCACTGCTCACACATAATGGCGCTATATCGAGTCACCCAGAACCCACAGAATCACACAACCACCCTACGTGTAGCACGTCACCTGGACGCGTAAGTAATGCCTACCTAGGTATATACAATCTACATGTGATATTACCACTAACTTCATACACCAATCGTTAGTTATCGAAAATACGGGCCACCTCCAAGCAACTACTACGTCTCACGCGATGATGGCACTAGCATGGCCTACGCAGATCACAGTTCAAGCACACATGCCACTTCCTTGGACAATGGTGCAAGTCCCCTTCATCCTTGCTCAGATGATGGCCAGGCAACCGATCCGAAGCCTTTCATTGCGGACGAGATGCTCCAGACCGACACCAAAACCATAGGCCTTTTTCGTCCTCCTCTCGACTACATACCAGGATCGACTGGCTGGAATTGGCATGAGGATGGCTGGCAGTCAGCATTCTCAGCAGCGCTATCACAGAAGGGTATCGAAATGACCGCAGACCAGATCGAAATAGCATACAACAACATCGCCGACCCACAGTCAAGTCTCCTCTATGATCCCGTAGACCGAAACACCGCAGTATTCCAGGACGAACCAGCGGCATCATTGATGGCTAGATATGGTATCGAAGACCGAAAGTTCAGCTTGATCATCATCTGTCCATATGTCCGTGCCGATGGTGTTGACTGGGAGCGTATCTACGACACGATGAATCGGCCGCCAATCTACTCCAGGTGGTCGACTGGAGCGCAGGCCGTTCATGAGCCCATTGTGCTCATGTGTTTACCCAGGCTCGAGACAAAAACTGGCAGGGAGTCATACAACAAGACAGTTGATTGGTTTTCAGTGAACCCACGCCCAAACACCACGTTCTCGGATGATTTCGACCTTCTATCAAAGGAGTAAGTCACTGTCTTTTCCCAGGGCTTCGGTATCCCGCTGACTCTCATAGGTTGTCTAGTGAAGACATAGACGAATACATGGACACCTTCAACTTCCCCACGCAGCTTGGCTTTCGACAGTCGGCCTTTCGACAGGCTCTCGTTCGCATTCATCGCATGATCGCTCTTGGTCTATTTGTTCATGATGACGACTTGCCCGCCTGGATCGAACAGTATGGTGAACATCTCTTGGAACTCGAAAAACACGACATGGACGACGACCCGCCCGTATTCAAATTCGATGAGGACGAGCCCTTCCAAGGCGGCGATGAAACTATAACCTACCGCACCATCACAGCATTGATCTTGAACCCTAGCTTTGAAGCTGCGAACGCTGCGGAAGAGTGGGATGAAGCTATAGAGAACTACGTTACGTGGTGTCTTGAGCCAGACGACGAGTTGGCTAAAGAGGCCTTCGAAACATTCGCCAAACAGCTGGAATTCGCTGCTGGAGAGCGATATTAGGGTTTGACTGCACCTCATACAAGAAAAAAAACTGATCAGGTCTAGAGACTACATCGACATTAGGGCACCTACTTTGCAGGTTTCTATGTTCATGTCGGCTGCAGACTTGTTCAATTCTTTCCAAGGTTGACGTAGCTGCGGTTTTTTGTTTCAGTGTTTGAGCGTGGTTTTAATGTTTTCAAGGTTATGTTTGCGTTCTGCGTGGGAGAAGAGCAAAAAGAATGGTTCGTCGTCGGATGGCGACTGCTGATCTTTGGACGGATGGATGATCGAGATCCTGACCTCGCTGCTAGTCCGAAGCGGGCGTTAGCGCTGCACAATCTAAATATTTGGAATATGAATTGCGCTCCACCCAAATTTGCCATCAATGTCTTCAAGACAAGAACATCCTTTGGGCGTATGGCTCAGTGGTAGAGCGTAAGTGATTACTTTGCATAAACTCCTTGCGCAACAATTGCTAACTTTCTTAGGCCCGCTTTGCAACCGTTTTCGGTTATAAACTGCGGGAGGTCCGGGTTTCGATCACCCGTCCGTCCACTTTTTTGGCCCTTGATGCCCTTTACAGCTCGTTTTTTAAAGGTTACAACATGCTATCTTAAATACAGAAGAGATATTACTAACCCAGTGTGGAAATGATACACAATTGCGGAAGGTCCGGGTTTCGGTATGTCTACAGTTCGCTTCATGGGTCGAGCCCACTCGCTAACACATTCAAGATCACCCGCCCGTCCATTACATTCTCTTTTTGCTGCCGTGTACTGCTTCTTATCTTTGTTTTTGCAGATTATAATATACTGTCACGAGAGCATAGTAGACCTTAAGAATTTGCGAGCCTGACTTGTCTGCGCGCATCCCCCGTACCTTTGAAGTAACCTTTCCCCTGTTTCTTAAACGTCGTTTACATCGCCTTACATTCTCTTACATTTTCCCTATGCAGCAAAGCTTCAACAGCCGTATCTTGCCTTCACCTATAATACTCTGCCGTGAACACCTCTACGTCCAGTACCCAAAGAGACTAGATTCTTGAGATTTTTAGAGGCAACTTTAACATTTCCTATATATGTTGTTAGGCCCGTCGCACATCATCATAAGAGACCAACTCCTCAAAAAGATCACCTCTCGCTAATTCCGAATCCGACCCCATTACCAACCACCTGATCTACCACAACATCTTACTCAGGCCGAAACCTGAACACCGTGCAGCCTACATCAACGCCAGATTTTCGAATCCGCTGATATTATCACAGTGTATGTGGCAACTCCATTGAGTTTCATCACTGTATTCGCGGACCCTACCTTACACAAGAAAAAACTGAACAGGTTTGCAGACTACATTAAGGTAAAAGTATGCAAAGTAGGTAGCCCAACGTCGATGTAGACTCTAGGGTCTTCAATTTTTCCCTAGGTTGACATGACCCCCTCTCAAGGCGCAACATCCTTCGGCATCCCATCAACCCCCAGATCAATCTCCTTGTCCAGATTCTCCAAGAACCCCTTGCCGCGGAACTCTTCCTTTCCAACACTCTTGTCCATTATGCCCGCAACCTCCTCACACTTATTATACCACACCCTCTCATAGTTGTACTCGTCCGCGGGACCATCCGGCATCATGATCCACTCAGGTATTGCGCCTTTCTCTTGCTCATTATCTTTGTACCACCAAAACATCGCTGTATCATCCTCTTTTGTGCGCCAATTACCGCGGTTCCAGTTGTGTTTCAGCGGAGAGTGCTTGTCCCATCCGCGAACGAGATGGCGGTAGTAGGCGATGGGGTGGATGTATTCGTTTGTGTCGCCCAGATCGCGGAGTTTGGTCCATTTGGGCGCTTTGGTGTCTTCGTTGTAACACTCGACTTCTTCGTGGCCGGGCATGCGTTGCCAAGATCCGATGAAGTAGTATATGCCGCTGTACGAGTCCACGAGGGGACCTGTACCCCAGCTAAAGTCGAAGTTGGTGTGTGAGTGGGGTGGAGAACGCGGCGGGGGTTTGAGTGTATCGTGACCGATGCCGGGAATGGAGATCTTTGGGAGCAGGTTCCACGCTTTTTGAAGGAGGTTCTGGTGGTGATAGGTGCATGCGAAGCGGAGGCGGAACAGCCAGCGCGTGTACTGGTCCATGGACAGCTGAAAGGCATGGCGATCGATGGTGAGGTGTGGAGAAATGACCTGAAGCATCCAGCAGAGCGTTGCTGTGGAGATGTTTTCCGAATCTCCCTTCATATCACCGAAAGCGTCTTGTGAACCACCGCCGATATTCGTATGAACACCAGGGAACCAAACTTGCTTCAGCTCCGGTGTTGGTCTGTTGGGATCGTCGACTAGGTCTTTAGGAATGTACCAGAGCGTAGGTCGGAAGGCCCTCCGACGCTCATCCAGAGCCAACGCCTGGAATGCATGCTCGATATCTACAAACCGTTAGCCAGAATCGCACGCTTCGACACCACTAAAACTCACTCTCCGTCAGCTCGACGTTGTGAAACCCATACTTCGTCCTCGACCACGCCAGATCAATACCAATCAGATCAGGTACACCCAACGAGCCGACAGTATCCCACACGCCAACCACCTTCACCTTCCTGCTACCCTCGCTAACAGCAAGCTCACCATGCGGCCGGATATCCCATACTTCCGCCAGCAGTTTGAGATCATGCCAGTCGATGTTCCGGACATCCACGCCCTCTTTCTCCATCTGTAGACCCTTCTCGCTGAGCTTGCCCTTGGTGAACCATCTGTATTCATTCGTCTCCCGGAAATCAACACCCTCTTCGTTTCTTTGATACAGACGATACAGCTCCGGGAAGAACTGCATGTTGACGGGTGCAATCACTCCGATATCCGAGACCAGCCCGGCAACCGCACGTGCGGTGTAAGCTCCTCTCGAAAACCCGAAACAGAAGATCTCATCGCCGGGCTCGTAATTTTGCACAATGAAGTTGTATGCTTCGATGACGTTTTCTGCGAGACCAGCTCCTGTGCCGCCTTGTCTTCGTCTCTCAGAGGTACTCAGATTCCCGGTTCCTATCCCGGAGTCATAGTACACGATCTGATGGAATTTCTTCGAGGCGTCGTCCTTGTCGGTGCCAACGCGCGCTATCAGGCGGCAGAGTCTGGCAACATTTGAGGGTATGTTGTCTTTGCTGCTGACGCTAGATTGCCATGTGCCATCGCAGCAGATCACTAGCCGTCGTCTCCAGGCGGTGTTGTCGTTGACCATGATGGTAGAATACAAGTTTGTGTAGGTAAATGGGAAAAGAAGAACAGCAGGTCGGTCGTCTGTAGCGCGCAATGTCGATTATAGGAAGGAGGAATGCGTATAAACAAATACAAGAACGCTGATCAGATACCAAGGCTGAATCGCAGGCAAGCGCGTCGGACGTCGTTATATGACACTCAGGGGTAAGCAAAAAGACAAGTAAGTACACGCAGCACAAAAGACGAAGCTGACCGGTTCCAAGCCACGGAGCTGCATTCAGGCAATGGGGCAATGAGGCAGCGCAACTCTTCTAATTTATCCTCATCGAGTCGTACACCGTGAATGGTCGATCTCCGAATGCCCATGACGGACGCCTAATTCCCCATGTCGCCAATGCGCCCGCCGCATTGTCCAGGTGCGGCTGAAGGAGGCTGCCAAGCGACCTGTTTGAGCGGGATGAAGCGCTGCTCCTACCCGCACGCCTTTGCATTTTCACCGAAAGACGGGTCAGACCGTGAACGCCTTCAGGGTGGTCTGATATGGCGCGAAGGTGTTGGAGTGAGAAATGCTCGCGTTGCGCGCGTCGGCGCGTCGGCGCGCTGTCTGAACATGAGAGAATGCGGTGTGCGTGTATGGGGCTTGTGCACGCGATCATCATTGCCGTCGCTACTTAGCTTTGCCGTTTGAACTTTGATTGCGATATCGAAAACACTGTTTGTGCGCGTGTGGATAGTTGTGAACTGATCAATGTGTGATGGGTGTTCCAAGGTTGGGGGATCATGGGCGGGGTCCGAGGCGCAGGCAACGCGGTCAAGGCGTGTCAGCTGTTGCCCGAACCCTGAAGTAAAAATATGCAGGCAACGGCAGGCACAGCCCATCTCCAACTCAGAATGCCACAAGAACAGTCAGATTACTGTCAAAAGCTGCATTCCTGTTACACCAATGTCAGCTCAATACTTACTTGTTTCACTCGGCACGTGCATGCCGTCTCAAAAAAAGGCCGAGTATGCTAGCACCGCCCGAAGGCGGCGGCAATGTACCAACATTGATTCTTCTCGTCAATACCCTATATCCAAAAAGCGGTCTATACTATCGCTGAACATCAAATCGTGACCAACAGTCGCTGAAGACCAAATCCGTGGAGTATCCCAGTGCCGTCTGTCGCGATATGGCGCCATTTTGGCGCAATCCCAGAGTACCATTGTGGCAGCCCCAGGCGTGCCTATATAACGCCCACCATCCCACCATGAAAAGAACGCTTAATCGCTGAACATCACAAGACTGCTTCCTGAAACTTGTACGACAATCCCGCGAGTCGTCAAAGCCCCTGGCATCAAGCACTCACATTGAGCGAGGTGAGTTACCAGCTGTATGCGGCCGACTGCCGTATTGAGATCCATCATTAAAGCCCTCGAAGCTTTCACCTGATGACATCCTTCTCAGATCGTTGTCGTCGCCCATGTCGACATCTTCCATCTCGTACCGGCCCGCTCCGTTCGGGTTCTGCGGCGGTCCCATATTGGCAAAAGAACTGTATTGCCGTGGGGGCGCAGCGGGCGGAACACCAGCACTACTGATTTGTTCTGCGAGGCTCGGCTTCTCCGCCAGATTGTTAAGCATGGCGCGACTCGCGTCCAACATCGACACGGCGTACTCAAGGAAGTCCGCTCGCTTGGAAGAGACTGAAAGCGTCCAGCGGTACTCGCATAGCCTGAGCTTGTAAAACTCGGCTTCCTCTTTGGCGGGTGCCGTAGCCCATAGCAGCGACCCAAAGGTGCCGATGAGCGTAAAGTTGACTTTGGAAGCAAAGTACCAGAAACCCTGCAGATGCTCCGGCTTCAGACGGTTCACAAAGTCCATAGCAGAGATCAGCCGCGTCTTCGCGGCGTTGCGGCACATGAAGAGACCGTAAGAGTCGGGGTTGGTGGAGTCGAGCGACTGCACTATGCGCCTATGCAGCGTAATCTCCGTCGCAAAGTACGCGAGATGCAGATAGCCCGTAGAAGTGAGCTTGCCCTTCTCGGGAACGTTCATCTTGACCTCTGCGGGTAGCTTCTCGTGCCATTGACGAAGCTTGATTTGTACAGGCTTAGCTCGTGCGAGGATCAACTCGGTCGACTTCCTCCCCGCATTGGCAAAGTCGTGGATCGCCGTTTGGGTGTAAAATGTGTCCATGACCTCAGCCATGATCTGCGTGAGCCCAATCATCTGGGCAAACAGTATCCGGCCTCGGTGGCTCTCTACCTGCTCCTCTTCAGATTCTTCCTGACGCGTCTCGTATCCATCCCCTTCTTCAACAAAATCGTCTTCTGTTATCGGCTTCACCGCCCAGTTGGCATTGAAG